GCTTTAGCTTAGCTTTAGCTTAGCTTCAGCTTAGCTTTAGCTTAGCTTTAGCTTAGCTTTAGCTTACCTTCAGCTTAGCTTCAGCTTAGCTTCAGCTTAGCTTTAGCTTAGCTTTAGTTTAGCTTCAGCTTAGCTTCAGCTTAGCTTTAGCTTAGCTTTACTGTTACTACTAATGCTGCTTTCCTAGGGGCTCCAACTCCTAGGTAGGGTCGCACTGGGATAATTTTGTTGAAAAGGATGGTGGGGGGAGGCCGCATCGGGTTGGCTGCGCATGCTCTGGACTTGGAGGCAGAGTGTGTGTTTGTATGTTTTTTTGCAGGTTCCTGGTTGGCTACCAGTCGCCTGGGGGAGGGGGTGTTTATCTATAGGGAACAGTGGTAAACCCTTCCCCGAAAGAGAAGAGGAAACTCCCTAAACCACCTACGTCCAGAGGGCTGGTGGGATTCGAACGGGGTCATCCAAATCCTGTAACTGTCGTCACTTTGGGCCCTTCAGGCTTGATTTTGGAGAAGGTTTCAAGCGGCGGCGGCGGCGACGGTGACGGCGACGACGACAGCGACGGCGATGGCGACGGCGGCGGCGACGGCGACGGCGACGGCGACGACGACGGCGACGGCGACGACGACGGCGACGGCGACGGCGACGGCGACGGCGATGACGACGACGGCGACGACGACGGCGACGTCGACGACGACGGCGACGACGACGGTGGCGTCGACGACGACGGCGACGGCGACGGCGACGGCGGCGGCGACGGCAATGACGACGGCGACGGCGACGGCGACGGTGACGGCGACGACGACGACGGTCTCTGACGGTCTCTGACGGGGCGCGAGCGGTCGGGCCGCCCGCGCGAGCTGCGCGCGCGCCCGCTGCGCCCGCGCCGCTCAACCTTCAACCCAGCCCGCGCTGGTTTCTGACCCCTGGCCGCCCTGCCTCGCAGGCCAGCCTCGCCCACCTCGCCGACACCCTCCTCAGGCCGCCCTGCCTCGCACGGCTGCCCTGCTGGGCCCTCTGCCTCGCAGCTGGCCCGCCACCCGTCCTCAGGCTGCCCTGCCTCGCACGGCTGCCCTCGCCTTCGGCGTGGCGCGCCCTCCGCGCACAGGCCAAGACCTCGCGCTGCCCTCATCAGCGCGGGACCTCGCCCTCGCCGCCTCCTCGGTGCAGCCGTCTGCCGCCTCCCTGGCAGCCTCCGCCTTGGCCGCACGCGCCCTCCTGCCTAGGGCCAGGAGGCCCTCCTCGTCGACGCCGTACGCCTTGACGACGTCCTGCAGGGGCTTCAGCGGCAGAGTGCCGCCGTATGCCCCCTGGTCTCCTCGCCCTTCGCCTCCTCCTGGTCGTGGCCTCCTCCCTGGGGCAGGCTCCTGCACCTCCTGCAGCTCGCCAGCCGCCGCCTCCAGTTCCTGCCACAGGTCTCCGCCGGCGCCCTCCTTGAAGTCGCACCTGCACGCCCCCCTCGACGGCAGCGGGTGCAGCCCCTTCCTCTATCTCCTGAGCTGCTCCTTGCAGCCCCTCTGCCCCCCTCTGCACTCCTGGAACAGGAGCTCTCCTCTCCTCTTCTTCACCTGCAGGTGGCCCTGCTCGCCATTCGCCCCGCACCTCCTGCACGCGAGCCCCCTCTCGCCCTGCTCGCTTTCGTACTCCACGAGGTGGTGGCACAACCAGCGGATGACCGGCCTGAGCGCCTGACTCGCCGCCGCGCCTCCTCCAGCCGCACCCTCGTCCTTCTGGTTGGCCGCCTCCTCCTCCTCTTCCTTCTTGGCCTCGTCGTAGGCCTCCTGCAGCCCTGGGGGCATCTCGTCCAGCTCGATCATCGTCTCGCTTGGGATGCCCTCCGCGTCCGGCGCCTGCGACTGCCACCAGACTGAGGACTGCCCGATCCACCGCGCCGTCTGCTTCGCCAGGGAATGAGCTCCTTCCGCCGCCAACGCACGCTCGGGCCAATGGCCCCACATGCTGGCCCCCTCCTTTGCGTGGCGGTCGGCCTGCTCATTTCCATCTCGCGTCCACCTTTCGGTCTCCGTCACGCACTCCGACTTCGACCTGTGCGCCTTGACCTTCGTCACGTGCACGCCCTCCTGGCCGCCGAGCTCGCTCCACCACCTCTTCCACAAGTGCCTCCTCGCCGCACCTTTTGCCAGCGCCTTGCCGACATCCGTCGCCTGACGGATCGAGCCCGAGCAGTCGCTGCACACCTCCAGCGTCGCCTGGGAGCAGCTCGCCAAGTAGTGGAACGCGTAGTCCTCGCCGTCCCTGGCCAGCTGCAAAGGGCCCCAGGCCATCGGGACCGTGCCGCACACGGCGCCCAGGACCTGGCCCCCTTCGCTGTACTGCACGATCGCCCAGCCTGCCCTCCTCAAGATCTCGTCCGCGGGGTCCGTGGCAGACCCGTCTACGAAGACCCTGCCCTGGAAGAACCCGTTCGGCGGTCTCTTGATCCATCTTACCTCGTCTACCTCAGGCTTCTCGTGCGGCGCCATCCAAGCCTGCGTAACCTCAGGGAAGAGCCCTCTCGCGAACATCTCGCCTGCGTCCTCGCCCTGCTCGAGCGCACTCTTCGCCGCCTGGAGCACCACCTTCGGGCACACCTCCCTCCTGTAGCCCATCGCCGCGTCGCAGCCGAAGTGCCGGTGCCACAGCGTGCCCCTCTGCCTCCTGCACCTCCTGCATTTGTCCGTCGGGGCCAGCTTCCTGTCGAACAGCCTCGCCTGCGTCCACGTAGAACCACCTGCTGCACACCTCAACGCCCGCTTATGCTTGATGCCCCAAGTCTCCGCGTCCTCCTCGTCCATCAACTCCTCGAAATGCTTCCAGTGCGCTGGGCGCCCCCAGGCCGAACTCCTGCCAAGGCCTGGGAGCGCCCTGGCATCCTCCATCCACCTCGCTGCTCTGCCCACGAGTTCGCTGATCAGCCCTGGCCCCAGCCACCTCACGTCGAGAACCTCGCCCGTCGGCATCTGCAGCTCGAAGGCCGACGGCATCGTGATCCCTGCCCTGGCCATGGTGAGCCGCAACGCGTCCGCCGGGCTGACCGCCCCTGCCCACGGCCTCGGCCTCCTCATCAACCTCTCCGCGTCCTGCCAGCAGCTCTCCATCACGATCCTGGGTAGCGCCCTCGTCGGCTCCACCGCGTACGCGACGACGACGACGGCGACGACGACGACGACGGCGAAGGCGACGGTGCCGACGACAACGGCGACGGTGACGATGGCGACGGCGACGACGGCGACGGCGATGGCTACCGCGACGGCGATGACGACAGCGATGGCGACGACAACAGCGACGGCGACAGCGGCGGCGACGACGACGACGGCGACGACGACCATGACGGCGACGAATACTGCGACGACGGCGACGGCGACGACCACGGCCACGGCGACGGCGACGATGACGACGACGACGGCACCGGCGTTGGCGACGGCGACGGCGACGGCAACGGCGCCGACGATTGCGACGACGACGACGGCGGCGATGTCGACGCCGACGGCACCGCAGACGACGACGGCGACGGGGACGACGACGACGTCGATGATGGCGACGACGACGGCCGCGGCGACGACGACGACGACGACGACGACGACGACGACGGCGTTGGCGACTACACTGGCGACGACGATTGCGACGGCGACGGCGACGGCGACGATGACGGCGTTGGTGACGGCGACAGCGACGACGACGAGGACGGCGACGGCGACGGCGACGGCGACGGCGACGGCGACGACGACGACGATGACGGCGACGGCAACGATGACGACGACGACGGCAACGGCGACGGCGACGACGACGACGACGTCGACGGCGGCTGTGACGGCGACGGCGACGGCGACGATGACGACGGCGACGGCGACGGCGACGGCAAGGAGTGCGACTTCGACGGCGACGGCGACGGCGATGGCGATGGTGATGGTGACTGCGACGGTTGCGGCGACAGCGTCGACGACGGCGACGATGATGGCGACTTCGACGGGCAATGCGACGACGACGGCGACGACGATCACGACGAGGGCGACGGCGACAGCGACGACGATGACGACGGCGGCGGCGACGACGACGGCGACGGCGACGGCCGCGGCGACGGAGACGGCTACGACAACGGCGACGGCGACAGCGGCGACGACGAAGATCGCGATCACGACGACGACGACATCGGCGACGGCGACGGCGACGGCGACGGCGACAGCGACGACGACGGCGACGACGACGGCGACGGCGACGACGAGAACTATGACGACGACTGCGACGGATGCGGCGACGGCGACGGCAACAGCGACGACGACGACCACAGCGACGACGACGGCGACATCGGCGACGACGCCGACGGCGACGGCGACGACGACGACGACGATGACGACGACGACGGCCTTGGCGACTACACTGACGATGTGGACGGCGTCGGCGACGGCGACGACGACGGCGACGGCAACGACGACGACGACGGCGGCGGCGACGTCGACGGCGACGGCGACGGCGATGGCGGCGGCGACGGCGACGACGGCGACGGCGACGGCGACGACGACGGTGACGGCCACGGCGGCGATGACGACGACGAAAGCGATGGCGATGATGGCGCCAGCGGAAGCGACGGCGCCGACGACGAGGATGGCGACGGTGACGACGACGTCGACGGCGACGGCTGCAGTGACGACGACAACGACGACGACGAGGGCGACGGCGGCGTCGACGTCGACGGCGACGACGGCGACGGCGACGGCGACGGCGAATACGGCCACTGCGACGGCCGCCGCGTTGGCGACGGCGACGGCGACGGCGAAAGCGACGGCGACGGCGACGATTACTACGACGGCGGCGACGACGGCGACGGCGACGGCCACGATGACGGCGAAGGCGTTGGCGACGACAACAACGGCGACGGCGACGATGACGGCAACGGCAGCCGTTCTGGCTCAGGCCGGTGGGCTGAGCTTGCAAGCGCGTACTTCAGAGCGGCTCGCGCTTGCGGGCCATTCCGAGGCAACGGCGGCGGCGGCGGCTGCGTCCCGATGGCGCCCCGCGGCAGCACGCGCGGCGGCTACTGGGTATGCAGTGCGGCCAGCTGCCGCCAGTGGAACTGGAGCTGGCGCACCACGTGCCTCGGCTGCAAGGCCAAAGCCCCGCCGTGGGTCAAGGCAGCAGGCAAGGAGGCGGAGGGCCCGAAACCTCCACCGCCCAAGGCCGACGCGGCTGGGTGGGTGGAGCAGCCCCGCGGGCGGCAGGGGCAGCGGCGCGCGCGCGGAGCGGCTCGCGCGGCCTCGCAGGCCTCGGCGGCCAGCGACCGCACTGGGGCCAGTGCCGCGGCGGGCGCAGGTGCGGATGCCCAGGTCAGCGATGGCCCAGTCGGCGGTGCCGCCCAGCCAGCGAGCCGGGTCGAGGAATACCTCGAGACCGTGCGGACCTTGGAGGACTGGCTCCAGCACCCGCCCCTCGGCGTCTCCGCCGACTTCGAGGCCCAGATCGGCGGCCAGCTGGAGTGTGCACGAGCCGGGCTGGAGCAGGCCAAGGCCGCCGAGGCACAGGCTAAGGCGGCGAGCCTCTCCAGAGCGGCAAGGATGCACCGCGACGCCAACGCCGTGGGCAAGGCTGAGCGCAGGCTCACGGCGGCCCGCAAGGCGCTCGAGGAGAAGAACCAGGCCGTGCACGAGGCCGAGGACCGCGTCCAGCAGGCGCACGAGGAGCTGGCCCAGCTGGCAGCCGAGCGCGACGAGAGCGAAGCTCGGCTCCGCGAGCTCGAGGCCGAAGCTCAGGCGGCAGCTGAGGAGGAGGAGCGCCGCACGGCGGCGGCAGTGGTCGAGAGCAGCCCAGTGCCAGGGCTCCTCTTCCAGCTCGACCACCTGGAGGACGCCTGGCGCTCAGGTAACTTCCAGACTGCTTGGGTCGAGGTGCAGAGGCAGATGGGCGCCGTCCGCCAGCAGCTGCGTGAGGCGCCCCCGCGGCCGGCGGCCGGGCCCCAGCGCCAGCCCTGGTCAGACAGCTGCCCGATGGACGGTGTCGACGCTGACGCCGAGGAAGGGTCGGCAGGCCCCTGGGTGCCACCGCTGGCAGCGGAGCGCGGGCAGGCCGCGCGTCGCGGCGACGCTGCCGGCCCGTGGGCGCCGGTCAGTGCAGATCTTCGGCGGCATCTGGCTGATGCCGCTGATGAGCTCCCTCTTGCCGCTAGCCAGCCCGTGGATGGCGGCGGGGAGTCCAATGGGTCTGGGCTTTGACGGGCGGGTCATGCCGCCTGGTGAAGGGGCCGCTGCGTCGCCAGGCCAGCGCATGGCGGCAGCTGAGGCCCTTGGGGGCCACCGTGCCCCGCGGCCCCCAGCAGCGGCGTCGGTGATCGGCGGCCTCCCTGGGCGCGGCGGTGGCCCCTCAGCGCCGGGCGCCCCCGGCAGCGCGGCTTTCCCTGGTGGACTCGTGGCCCTGGGGTGCAACGGCAACACCTGGAACAGGAGCATGGAAGTCCTCGAGAGCTACCGCGCGCGCTTCGGGCACTGGCCGCACCTCGTCATGCTCCAGGAGACGCGGCTGGAGCGCAGCGAGCAGCTCTCGGCGGCCCGTGCCAGGGCCCGCAGGCTCGGCTATGAAGCCTTCCTGCAAGCAGCCGCCCGCACGGAGGGCCTCGGACCCTTGAGCAACTCAGGGGGCGTTGCCATCCTGGTGAGGCGGGACCTCCAGGCCCAGCTGGTACCTTGGCAGCTGCCCGCGGAGGTCTCGCACCGCCTCGTCGGAGTTACAGTGGCGACAGCTTCGGGGCTGGAGGTCATGGCTGCCTCGGCCTACTTCCAGCACTCCCTCGGGCCGAAGGGCGTCAACCTCGACATCGTCAGCGCCTTCAGCGGCCTCGCCGCGACAGCTGGCCGCATGCCGTGGCTCCTCCAGGCGGACTTCAACATGGAGCCGTCCGTGCTGGACGAGCTGGGGTGGCCCAGAGGACAGCTTGGCGTCTACCTGGGCCCTGGGGCGCCCACCTGCTTCGCCCAGCGCCAGGAGCACGAGTGCGACTGGTTCACGTGCTCACGCGCCTTGGCGCACACCACGCGGGCCTGCCGCGTTCTCAGCGGCTTCGGGCTCCACCCCCACCAGCCCGTCGAGCTGGTGCTGCAGGACGCGCGGCCGGACGCGCTGGTCCAGGTGCTGCGCCGGCCCGGGCGCTTCCCCGACCTCGACCTGAAGGAATGCACCCCCAGCGAGAGCGCCGAGGTGCAGCGCTACGTCCGTACGGGGCCCTCGGCCTGGCGCGCCGAGGCGGTTGCTTGGGGGTGGGGGCCGGGCTCGGCCCCAAGCGATCTAGGCTCAGCGGTGCACCAATGGATCCAGGCTGCCGAGGGCACCCTGGTCGGCATCCACGCCACCGACGCCAGTCAGCGGGCCAGATTCCTAGGGAGGGCCGACGCGCCCCAGCTGGTCTACAAGCCGCTGTCTGCCGTGGTGCGACGCGAGTACCGCCTGAGGCACTCCGCCTTGACGCACCACATCCGTCTGGCCCTGGATCTCGCTCTGCAGCGAGTGAAGGCCGCCGTCACCGAGACCTGGCAGGAGGCCCACCGCTCCTGGTACGTTACGCAGGGGGAGCGCCGCGTCAAGCTGCTAAACGCTTCCACCCAGGAGGCGCGAGACGAGGGAGACCTGGACTTCGACGTCAGCGACTGGGATGACCTGGTGTACTACGCGGGCGTCGAGGGCCACGGCGGCGCCATTGCCGTGTTGCAGCAACGCCTTAGCAGCGCGCAGCGCCGTGATGGCGCTCGCAGCGCGGCCTCCTGGAGGAAGTGGGCGCAGGAGGCGGTCCAGCGTGGAGGCCGCCTGGCCCACCGGTTCGCCAAGGCTGCCCCGCCGCCTCGTGTCCTCGATCCCGACTCGGGGCGGCCGCTCGCTGGCGTGGCCGCCATCGGTGAGCTGGGGCAGAGCTGGAAGCGTCTCTGGCTCCAAGCGGGCTTCGTCGGCGGCTCCGGAGTGGAAGGGTGGGACACGCCCGGGTGGCAGCTCCCGCCTCTGTCCCTGGAGCAGCTCCAGGGGGCCTGCCGCCGGTGCTCCCCTACCTGCGGCCTCGGGGCCGACCAGCTTCACCCGCGGCAAATCCTGCTGCTGCCGCTGGCCATGCAAGTGCGCTTCCTAGACCTGCTCACCTGCTACGAGGCGCAGCCGCGGAGCCTCCGCCAGCTGGCAACGATGATGGTTTTCATCCCGAAGGCCTCGGGTGGAGTGAGGCCGATCGCCCTCCTCCCGCTCCTGTTCGGCCTCTGGAGCAGGCTGCGGCAGCCAGTCTGTGCGCAATGGGAGGCTGAGAATGACCACGGCTTCTTCTGGGGCAAGGCCGACAGAGGCTGTGAGAAGGCTGGCTGGCTCCACAATGCCTACGCGGCCCACGCGCAGGCCATGGGCTTTGCGTCGGCCTCGCTCTTCCTTGACATTGTGAAGTTCTATGAGAACTTGCGGCACGATGTCCTCTGGGCAGCGGCCGTCGAGCATCGCTTCAACTTGAAGCTGCTGCAGGGCCTCCTCGTGATGTACCAGAGCCCCAGGTTCATCGCCATGGCGGGCCTGGCCTCGGAGACCTTCACCACCCTCGGCACCGTGCTGGCGGGCTGCGCCTGCGCTACGACGGTGGCCAAGCTGCCCGTGCTCACCCCCCTCAGGCAAGCGTCTGCCTGCGGGAGGCCGCTGGTGGTGGCCCGCAACGTCGTCGACGACGTCGCCTTGCAGGCCGTCGGAACGCTGCGGTTGGTGAGCCTCCAGCTTGGCGCAGCAGGGCTCGAGGTTGCACGACGGCTGGAGGACCAACACCTCCCCATCAGCGCGTCCAAGACCCACTTCCTGGCCTCCAGCATGGAGCTCGGCCAGAGCCTCCAGGCGTGCTGGGGCGATGCCGGGTGGCGCTTCGAGCGTGCGCTCCAGGCGCGCAACCTTGGCACCGACGCCAATGTCACTCGCCGGGGCGTCCACGAGGGCCACGGCAGGGCCGCCGAGGCCCTTGCGCGAACCAGGAGGCTGCGGGTCCTCAAGGCAGCTGGAGCTGAAATCGACGCCGTGCACAAGGCGGGACCCACGGCCAGCATGGTGTGGGGGCGTACGGTGACTGGCATTGCTGACGGCGAGCTCCACTGCTGGCGGGTCGCGGCGGCGAGGAGCGCAGGCCGGCTGCCCAATGGTGCGCCTCTGGGCTTCCGCCTGCGTGCGGCCGAGGTGCAAAGGAACCGTAGCCTGGACCCAGCTGCCATCTTGGCGGGGCAGACGGTCTCGATGTTGGCCTCGCTCCTCCAGTCTGGCGAGGTTCCGTTGGGCATGATGCGGGCGGGCCTCGAAGCGGCCGACTCGCGCCGCCAGCAGTCTGCCTCGCCATGGGTGGCGTGCCGGTCGCCGATCGACGCCGCAGTGCTCTCCATGAAGCGCATCGGTTGGCACTTCGTGTCCGAGCGCCAGCTGGTGACCGACCAGGGCGACGTGCTCAACCTCCTGGATCTCGGCCCGCGTGACCTCGGGCAGGAGGCCGCGTTTGGGGCCCGGCGAGCCTCCGACCGCAGCGAGCTCCAGAGGCTGGCCAAGGGTGGCTGGCACACCCAACCGCTCTTCTGGGACGCCATCGGCGGGCTCATCGGCCCTGGCGGGCTGCTGGGCGCACGGGAGAAGGCGGCCTTCGTCTCGTATCTGAGTAACGCGCGCTGGCCTCAGCAGCGGCTGTGCCGATCAGGCGAGCGGAGCCACAGCCGCTGCTGCCTTTGCGGGGCGGCGAGAGGGACGCTGTGGCACCGCCTCTTCGAGTGCCCTGCGCACGAGCCTGTGCGGCGCGACAGCGTCTCCACCAGGCTCCTGCGATGCGCGCGGCGCGTGCGGGCCCTGGGAGGGGAGGCGGCCGAGGACTTCGCCAGAGGCTGGCTCCCGGCGCCTTTCCCAAGGCTTGGGCCCCGCAGCGACGCGATGGAGGTCTACTGGATCAACCGCCCCGCTGACTCGCGGCTGACCGGCCGGCTGTTCCTGGACGGGTCGGCCCTGGAGCCGGCGTTCGGAGCTTTGCGGCGCGCGGGCTGGGCGATCGTCCAGACCGACGCCGACGGCAACCTTATCGCGGCCGCCTTCGGCACGGTTCGCAGGGACCTCTGCCCGCAGCAGACGTCCAAGAATGCGGAGGACTTCGCGTGCTGGATGCTGTGCGAGGTGGCGGGCCCTGGAGCCCTGGAGCTGAACATTGATTGCAGCTCCACGGTCGCCTGCCTGCGCAGAGGCAAGGCTTACGCGACCGCGGCTGGCAGGCCCGGAGCCCACTTGTGGTCGAGGCTTTTCGCCACCTTCGAGCCCGGCGACTACGATGTCCGCAAGGTGCCAGCCCACTGCTCGATGGTTCAGGTGCGCGAAGGGCGCCTGACGGAAGCGCAGCTCCGCGGCAACAGGCTGGCCGACGCCTATGCCGAGCGCGGGGCCCAGTGCCATGCCGTGGACCCCCAGGTGGTCAGGGAGTTCCACGGCTTCGTCGCGGTCTACAACGAGCTGGCCAGATGGATCGCGCGGGCCTCGGTGGAGCACCAGCGCTGGGAACGCAAGGACGCCGAGGACCTCCCGGAGGGCGACGAGCGCAAGAGGCCGCTTGTCAGCTTCGCCGAGGCCGAGGCAGAGCCCGACCCCGACGGCGACGACGACCCCAAAAGGAGGCGGCAGGAGTGTATTCCTTGGGGGGCTAGCGCCGCCATCAATCCCAGGGGGCGGCAGGAATGTCTCCCATCGGCGGCGGGCGGCCAGGGCATCGCTGTTGCGACAGTCATCGTCTTCGGCCACGCCCTGAGGTACGCCCGCTCGGGTGACGGCGACGACGAGGAGGAGCTGATCGGGTGCCAGCGCTGCGGGGCCTACATGCAGCTGGGTGGGCGCAGCGGCGCCAGGCCTAAGCTGAAGGAGGCTTGCCCTGGCTGGCGGGGGGCCGACAAGGCCATGCGTGCCCAGAGGAGCCAGTGGGAGCGCGGCCTTCACCCAAGAGGTCGGCGCCGCGAGCAGGGCGAGCGCAGGCTGCGCCCGGAGCCGCTCACCGAGGCCGTGAGGCTCGGCTACCTCGAGTGGCTGGGCCTCCAGCCTGAGGAGGAAGGCGGCCCGCGGCCCCGGCGCGCGGCGGCCTCGGCGGCGGCGCCGCCGACGGCGGCGGCGGGCTCCGCTGCGGGGGCAGCCGGCGGGCCTGCGGCGGACTCCCCGTTCGGGGTCCTCTCCGCCTATGGCTTGGATGTGGAGAGCTTGCAAGAGTGGTCGGCGGCCGCTGAAGCAGCTGCCGAGGAGCGCAAGCGGCGGCGCCTCAACCCTGAGGCCGCCGACGTGGAATGCGAATTGTGAGCACCTTTTCTGGCGTCGAAAGGGTTGGGCCTCCCGCACATGAGTAGGGTTGCTCCTGCGCGACCTGCGGCTGTTGGCGCCCTTTTGGCGCATCCGCAGCCCTCGCATCGCCGATCGCTGCGTTTGTGGTGCCTCCGAACGCCTTCACGGCCTCTGCAAAGGCAAAGGATGACGGCAACGGCAACATAATCGACGACGACGGCGGCGGCGACGGCGATGGCGACCGGGAAGGCAAGGCGACTACGGCGACGGCAACGGCGACGGCGACGGCGACAGCGACGGCGACTGCGACGGCGACGACGACAGTGACGGCGACGGCGACTGCGACGGCGACGGCGACGCGACGGCGACCTCGACGGCGACGGCGACGGCGACGGTGGTGGCGACGACGACGGCCGCGTCGACGGCGGCGGCGACGATTGCGGCGACGACGACGGCGACGGCGACGGCGACGGCGAAGGTGGCGACTGAGACGATGACGGCGAGGGCAACAATGACGACGGCGACGGTGACGGCGACGCGACGGCGACGGTGACGGCGACGACGACGGCGACGGCGATGACGGCATTGGCGACGGCGACGACGACGAGGACGGCGACGGCGACGGCCACGGCGACGGCGACGACGACGGCGACGGCGACGGCGACGACGACGACAGTGACGGCGACGACGACGCGACGGCGACGGCGACGGCGACGGCGACGGCGACGACGACGGCCACGACGACGACGACGGCGACAATGCCAGGGACGGCGACGGCGACGGCGACGACAAAGGTGACGGCTGCGACGGCGACGGCATTGGCGACGGCGACAGCGACGGCGGCGGCGATGACGACGGCGACTGTGACAGCGGTGGCGACGGCGACGGCGACGGCGACGGCGACGGCGGCGGCGGCGACGGCGACGACGGCGACGGCGACGACGACGACGACGACAGCGTCAGCGACAGCAACGGCGGCGGCGATGGCGACGAGAACGACCACGGCGAGGGCGACGGCGACGTCGACGGAGGCGGCCACGGCTACGGCGACGGCGCCCTCGATGGCGACGGCAATGGCCACGTCGACGGCGACGACGACGATGTCGACGACGACGACGGCGACAGCGACGACAAGAGCGACGATGACAACAGCGGCGACGGCGACGGGGACGACGACGGCCGCAGCGACGGCGACGACGATGGCACCGACTGCGACGGTGACGGCGACGGCGACGACGAGGACGGCGGCATGGCGACGGCGACGGCGACGGCGACGGCGACGGCTTTGACGACGGTGACGGCGACGCCGGCGACAACGACGGCGGCGACGACGACGACCTCGGCGACAGCGACGGCGACGACAACGGCGACGGCCGCTGCGATGGCGACGGCGGCGGCGACGGCGACGACAACGGCCGCAGCGACGGCGGCGACGATCGCGTCGACGGCGGCGGCGGCATCCACGGCAACGGCGGCGACGTCGACGACAAGGGCGACGGCGACGGCAACGTCTACGGCGATGGCGACGGCGGCGGCGGCGACGGCGACGGCCGCGACGACGGTGGCGACGACGGCGACGGTGACGGCGTTGACGACGGTGACGACTTTTGCGACGGCGACGGCGACGACTGTGGCGATGGCGACGGCGACAGCGACGGCGACAGCGACGGCGACGACACCGTCGACGGCGTTGACGGCAACGACCACGGCGACGACGACGCCGACGACGGCAGTGGCGACGGCGACAGCGATTGCGACGGCGACGGCGATGGCGACTACGACGACGACGACGAAGTCGACGGCGATGGCGGCGGCGACGCCGACGGCGACGACGAAGACGGCGACGACGACGACGGCGACGACGGCGAAGAAGACGGCGACGACGTTGACGACGGCGACGGCGACGGCGACGAAGACGGCGACGGCGACGGCGATGGAGACGGGTCGGCCACGGTGGCGGCGACGGCGACGACGATGGCGACGACGACGACGGCGACGGCGACGGCGACGGGGACGAAGACGGCGACGGCGATGCCGACTGCGACGGCGACGACGGCGCCAGCGACGCCGACGGCAACGACGACGACGCGGGCGGCGACGGCGGCGGCGACGGCGACTGCGACGGCGACGGCGACTGCGACGGCGGCGACGGCGACGGAGACGGCGACGACGACGACGGCAACGACGATGGTGGCGACGAGTACGGTGGCAACGCCGACGGCGACGGCGACGGCGACGACGGCGACGGCGGCGACGGCGACGGCGACGGCGACGGTGACGGCAACGGCGGCTGCCACGGCGATAACGGCGGTGACGAGGATGGCGACGACGACGACGGCGACAGCGGCGACGACGACGACAACGATGAATTCGACGGCCACGACGAAGGCGGCGGCGACGACGACGACGACGTCGGCGAATGGCGCGGCGACGGCGGCGGCGACGACGACGATGGCCACAACGGCAACGTCGACTTCGACGGCCGCCGCGAGGGCGATGACGACGACCACGGCGACAACGGCGACGGCGACTGCGACGGCGACGGTGACGACGACGACGACGGCGACGGTGACGGCGACGGCGACTACGATGACGACGGCGACTACGACGACGATGGCGACGGCGATGGCGACGGCGACGGCAACGGCGACGGCGACGACGACGGCGACGGCCTGCGACGACGGCGACGGCGAGCACGACTGCCGCGGCGACGACGCGACGACGACGGCGACGGCGTTGACGACGACGACGGCGACGACGACAAGCACGGCGACTGCGACGGCGACGGCGACGACCTTGGCGAAGACGGCGACGGCGACGGCGACGGCGACGACTACGACGACGACGGCGGTGGCGACGGCGACGACGGCTTCGGTGACAGCCCCAGCGGCATCGACGGTGACGACGACGACGACGGTGACGACGGCGACGGCGACGGCGACGGCGATTGCGACGACGACGGTGACGGAGACGACGGCGACGCCGATGATGGAGCCGACGACGGCGACGGCGACGGCGACAGCGACAGCAACGGCGACGGCGGCGGCGAGGACCGCCCTTTCGACGACGACGGCGACGGCGACGGCGAAGGCGTTGGCGACGGTGATGGCTACTCCGGCGGCGACTACGACCGCGACGACAACGACGACGGTGGCGACGGCCACGGTGACGATGACGGTGGCGACGACGACGACCACGGCGACGGCGATGGCGACGGCGACTACGACGACGACGACGACAATGGCGACGGCGACGGCGGCGGCGACAGAGACGTTGATGACAACGGCGACGGCGACGGCGGCGAAGGCGACGGCGACGACGACGACGACGGCGACGCGACGGCGACGGCGACGGCGATGACGACCGCGACGGCGACGGCGATGGCGACGGCGACGACGACGACGACGGCGATGACGTTGGTGACGGCGACGGCGGCTTTGGTGACAGCGACGGCGACAACGACGGCGACGACGACGACGACGGCGACCACGGCGACGGCGACGACGGCGACGCCGATGATGGCGCCGACCACTGCGACGGCGACGGCGACGGCGACGGCTACGGCGACGGCGACGGCGACTGCCGCGGAGAGGGCGACGACGACGACCACGGCGACGACGACGGCGACGGCGACGGCGACGACGAACACTACGACGACGAAGACGGCGATGACGACTACGACTACGACGACGACGGCGACTACAACGACGACCTTGGCGGCGGCGGCGACGGCGACGACGACGGCGACGGCGAGGGCGACGACGGCAACGGCGACGGCGACGGAGACGGTGACGACGGCAACGGCGACGATGGCGGCGACGAGTACGGTGGCAACGGCGACGGCGACGGCGACGACGACGACGACGACTGTGACGGAGACTCGGGCGACGATGACGACGACGGCGACGGTGACGGCAACGGTGATTGCGAGGGCGACGGCGCCTGCGACTGCGACGGCGACGGCGAAGACGACGGCTTCGGCGACGGCGACGGCGACGACAGTTGCAACGGCGACGGCGCCAGTGACGGCGACGACGGCGACGACGACGGCGACGGCGACGGCGACGGCGACGACGACCGCAACGTCTGCGTTAGCCGCGGCGGCTGCGACGACGCCGACGACGACGGCGACGGCGACGGTGACGGCGACGATGACGGCGACGGCGACGGCGACGGCGATGGCGACTGCAACGATGGCGGCGACGGCGACGGCTACGGCGACGGCCGCGGCGACGGCGACGGCGACGACGACGGCGATGACGACCGCGACGGCGACGGCGGCGACGACGGCGATGGCGACGGCGACTACGAGGGCGAGGGCGTCGGTTACGGCGATCGCGACGGCTACGGCGACGGCGCCGACGACGGCGACGGCCACGGCCGTGACGTTGACGGCGACCGCGACGGTGACGGCGACGGCGAGGGCCATGGCGACGGCGACGACGGTGACGACGACGACGGCGACGACGTCGACGACGATGGGGACGGCGATGACGACGGCGACTACGGCGACGGCGACGACTACGACGACGAAGGCGACGGTGACGACAGCGGCGACTGCGATTGCGAAGGCGACTGCGCCGACGACGGCCGCGGCGACGGCGACGGCGACGGCGATGGCGACGGCAAAAGACGACGACGGCAACTGCGACGGCGCCGACGACGGCCGCGGCGACGGTGTCGGCGGCGGCGACGGCGACGGCAAGCGACGGCGGCGACAACGACGACGACTACGGCCGCGGCGAGGGCCACGACGACGACGGCGGCGACGGCGACGGCGACGGCCACGGCCGCGGCGACTGCGACGGCGACGGCCGCGGCAAGGGCGACAGCGACAGCGGCGGCGACGACGACGACGACGATGACGACTACGACGGCGACGGCGACGGCGTGGGCGACAACGGTGGCGACGACAACGTTGACAGCGATGGTCACGGCAACGGCGACGGCCGCAGCGAGTGCGACGACGACGACGACCACGGCGACGACGATGGCGACGGCGACGGCGACGGCGACGGCGACGGCGACGACGGCGACAACGACGGCGAGTGCGACGACGACGATGGCGACGGAGACGGCGACGGCGACGGCGACGGCGACGGCGACGACGGCGACGGCGACGGCGACAGCGACGGCGACGACGACCGCAACGTCTGCGTTAGCCGCGGCGGCTGCGACGACGCCGACGACGACGGCGACGGCGACGGTGACGGCGACGATGACGGCGACGGCGACGGCGACGGCGACGGCGACGGCGACTGCGACGGCGACGGCGGCGACGACGGCGACGGCGACGGCGACGGCGGCGGCGACGGCGGCGACGACGACGATGGCAACTGCGACGATGACTTCGACGACGACGGCGGCGGCGACGATGACGGCGACGGCGACGGCGATGGCAACGACGACGACGGCGACGGCGACGGCGACGGCCACAGCCACGGCCGCGGCGACGGCGACGGCGACGGCAAGGGCGCCAGCGACAGCGGCGGCGATGACGACGACGACGACGACGACGACGACGACGACGACTGTGACGACGACGCTGGCGACGGCAACGGCGACGGCGAGGGCCGCGGTGGTGGCGACGGAAAGCGACGGCGACGGCGACGGCGACGGTGGCGGAAACGACGTCGACGACGGCGACGGCGACGGCGACGCCAACGACGACGGCGATGGTGATTTCGACGGCGACGGCTACGGCGACGGCGGTGGCGACGGCGACAAAGACGGCGACGGCTACGACGACGGCGACGGCGACGGCGACGACGACGACGACGACGGCGACGGCGACGGCGACGGCGGCGGCGACGGCGATGGTGATTGCGGACGGCGACGGCGACGGCGACGGCGAGACGGAGACGGCGACGGCGACGGCGACGACGGCGACGACGACGGCGACGGCGACGCCAACGACGACGGCGATGGTGATTTCGACGGCGACGGCGACGGCGACGGCGGTGGCGACGACGACAAAGATGGCGACGGCTACGACGACGGCGACGGCGACGGCGACGACGACGACGACGGCGACGGCGATGGCGACGGCTACGACGACGGCGACGGCGACGGCGACGACGACGACGACGACGGCGACGGCGATGGCGACGGCGACGGCGACGGCGACGGCGACGGCGACGACGACGGCGATGGTGATTGCGACGGCGACGGCGACGGCGACGGCGACGGCGACGGAGACGGCGACGACGACGGCGACGACGCCGACGACGACGGCGATGGCGACGGCGACGGCTACGGCGATGACGACGCCGACGGGTACGGCGACTGGTACGGCGACGGCGACGGCGACGGCGACGACGACGGTGAAGGCGAGACGACGGCGACGGCGACGGCGACGGCTACTGCGACTGCGACGGCGACGGCGGCGGCGACGACGACGACGGCGACGACGACGGCGACGACGACGACGACGGCGATGGCGACGGGGACGGCGACGGCGATGGTGATTGCGACGGCGACGTTGACGGCGACGGCGACGGCGACGGCGACGGAGACGGCGACGACGACGGCGATGATTACGACCACGGTGACGGCGACGGCGACGGCGACGGCGACAGCGACGGCGATGGCGACGGCGATGACGACGACGACGACGACGACGACTCCCCTGGCAAGGTCGCGGCGCGTAGCGGCGCCGCGGGGCGGCTCCAAGGTCCACGGGAGCGGCGCGGCGGGCTTCCGGGACGTGCCCGGGGAGCAGATGCTGGGGCTGGAGGCGCGGCGGGGCGGGTGGAAGGGCCCGGGGCTTCAGCATCATCGGCCCCAATCCCCATTTGGGCCAATGTATCTCAGCCGCGCCATCCCACGCCCCCAGTTAGGGATGTGCCCTGCGAGGCCCGAAGGGAGCAGCATATATCCCCATCTGGAGAGGTAGATCGGCCAGTGTGACCAAGGCCACCCTGGTGGGGGTAGGGATCGGTTCAGCGATGCTCAGGGCCTTCCGACGCCTTGACAATAACCGAGACGTCGTTTCCCCTACTCGGCTTTGCCTACGGGTTCCTTATTTGCTTTGTGAAGGACTGCTGGCCGCGACGGCCCAAGTCAGTGGCGGGCCTCGGCCTTGCTCGGCTCCCTGGCCTTGGTTTCCTTGCTGCCCTGCTCGGGTCCCCCTGTCTTGTTCCTCGGGTGCCCCGGGACTTTCTCGGTTCCCTGATCTTGTTCCTTGCCTTCCTTTCTCGGCTTCCCCGGTCTTGCTCCTCGGGTTCCCCGGTCTTGCTCCCTGGACTCCCCGGTTCTTGCATTGCCGAGGACTGCCGAGCCATGCCAAGCAATGCCAAACAATACCAAGCAATGTCAATCATCGCCAAGAAATGCCAAGCAATGCTACGGGGAGGGGAGGCTGCAAACAGATGTTGGCCAGGCCCGGTTGTCTTGCATGCATCTTGGGTTTCCGGCAACATTTGTTTTGTCGGACCGCGCCGAATTTGAAAAAAGCTGCTGGAACCCTCAGAGAAACCATTCGCTTGTGTTTCATTCCCAGGGCCCCGTGCTTCGCGGTTGTCGTTGCGGCTTGTTTCTTCTGTTAGCAGGCGTCGCTAGGCCGATTGTTGGTCTCTTGGTTTCTTGGGGCTACCACGAGCTGGGCTCCCACTGTATTTTGTTTTGCAAGCCCACGCGAGCGCGATTCCCAATTCTAACCATGCTGTCCGCAGTGATTTCAGCCCTTAGTGTTTCCAGCCTCATCGTGCGCAATCCAAGCAACCCGAGCCAGTACCAAGCAACGTCAAGCAATGCTGCCGAGCAACGTTAAGCAATGCGAATCAATGCAACGCAATGCCAGAGAAGGCCAAGCAATGCCAAGCAACCCCAAACAATGCCAAGCAAGGCTAAGCAACGGTTCCAAGCATTGCCATGCAAGGCTAAGCAACACATCCAATCTAAGTAACGCGCCCAATCAATGCCAAGCAATGCCAAGCAATACCAAGAAACGCCAAGCAATGCCAAGTAATGCCAAGCAACACTGCCAATCAATGACAAGCAACGACTCCAAGCAACGATTTCAAGCAACGCGAATCAATTCCAAACAAGGTCAAGTAATGCCAAGCAATGTTTAGCAAGGCCAAGCGCTGCCAAACACTACCAAGTAATGCCAAGCAGTGCATTGCTTTGCGTTGTCCAGAACTGCCGTGATTTGATTCAACAGACAGATGACTCCCTAATTGGGGTCGCTCCAAGTTCATTTGTTGCCCGTCGTTTTCGGCGCCAGGGCCGCCATGGTTCCCCTGCCTTGTGCCGGGGCCGTCAGAAAGCGACTCGGGGTGAAATGCTGGCCTGCGGAAAGGGCCGTGACTTCTGGGAACGTCGTATCGAAGATATCAAGCCGGCGGATCTCTACGGGTTAGTGGAGGGTTGGAGGGGTCGGGGGACTTCAACCATCCCCCCCATTCTCCCTCTCCCTCTCCTGCCGCTTCCGCACCCATCCTGGCTCAAGCAGTTCGTCCTGCCCGCTGTACTTTCACACTCGACCTTACTACCCTGCCCTGTGCATGATGGTGTCGCCGTTAGTCGCGCTCTGCGCCCTCCTCCCGCTGCTGGGAGCAGCTCTCCCGTCGGACTACAGCGGAAGCGTCCTGTCCCTCTTGGAGCGCGGCGACGAGCTCGGCCTCGATGACGAGTACGATTTCGATCTCAGCTACGAGGACGTCCACATGCTGCAGGAAGGGGTCAAGAAGCCACATAAGAGAGCTTCACTCGACCGCAAGAAGAGCTACGCGGAACTGACGAAGTCTATTGACGAGATCATTCCAATCCTGGAGATGGACTTCAAGTCGAGGACGCAGGAGCTGAAGGTGGCACTGGCCACGTTCAAGGAGAGGCAGCGCGACATGGACGTAGCAAAGAGGGACGCCACCCAGGCCATGAAAGCACTCCGCCTGGAGGCAGATAAGCGCCGCAGGGCCGCGGCCGAGCGCAAGAAGGCCAAGGAGAAGGAGCGACTCGCGAGGGACGAGATGGCCCGCACCGCCAAGGAGGCGATGATCAAGAAGGCGCAGGCCCTCATGGGCTCGACGGGCGCGGGCTCCGCGGACAACTTCATGCTGAGCGAGACGGCGCTGAGCACCATGGTCAACGTGCTCATGGCCCTGCCCGGGGCAGTGGAGAACCCCATCTTCGTGAAGCGCCTGAACCGGGGGAAGGCTTCACCCCCGATCCTCCCCCCCTTCTCCTCCTCCTCGATCCTCCCGCTCCCCCTCCTCCTCCTCCGATCCTCATCTTCGTCCTCCTCCTCCTCGATCCTCCCCCCCTCCTCCTCCCTGGTCCTCCCTCCTCCTGAAGCTTTCTCTCCTCACTCCTGAAGGAGCAGGCGGTCACCGCCGTCCAGGATTTCCTCAACATCACGCGCCGCAAGACCTCGAAATTCGTGCTGGCGGCCTCCAAGGCGTCCGATGTGGAGCTCGGCTTCCTCCTGGCGCGCTACTTCCACGAGGCGTCCTTCCGCGTCAAGGCGATGCAGTCTGACGGGATGAAGATCGCGAGGGATCTCAACATCGTTATGCCGAGGGAGCTGAGGCAAGCCTTTCTGCCCGTCGTCAAGGGCGTGAGAGCCCAAGCACTCCCGCTGAGGGTGAACGCCACCAGTCTTGCGAGCGCCACCATCACCGACGCCTGCCTGCAGATGTCCAGCCTCATGTCGAACATCAGCGACTACAACAACAAGGCACCCGTTTTGCACTGGCTCGTGACCCGTCCCCCTCTGGGCGGCCTCGCTCTCCTCCCGCCCCCTCTCTCGGCCGTTCCCTCTGCTTTGTCCCCTCCCCCTGCACGGTGGCACGGTTCGCTACAACGGTGCCCCCGTTGATGTGGCCCTCCGCCAGCGCAGTTGCTCTGCCTCGCCGCCGACGCAAGAATTCTGTAGTGGTTGTTTCGCCGATCGATGCGGGCCCCCGCCCCCCCCCCCACCCTCCTCATCCTCCTCCTCCTCCTTCTCCTCCTCCTCTCCTCCTCCTCCTCCTCCTCCACCTCCTCCTCCTCCTCCTCGTCCTCCTCCTCATCCCTGGACCAGATCCTGGCTGCTCTCGACTGCTGCTTCTGGCGACTCGGCAGGACCCTCCCCCATGATGGGCCTGTTTTCCAGCACCACCACCATACGTTGGAGGGGGGAAGGAGGTGGAGAATGAGGAGGAGGAAGAGGAGGAAAAGGAGGAGGATGAGGAGGACGAGGAGGACCCCCTCCCCCTCCTACTTATGGTGGTGACGGTGGAAAACAAGCCCACCACCCCAGTCTGCTTGCGCGAATGGTCGAAGCAGATCGAGAAAGCACCGGCCCAGGCCCATAATCATTCCCCTGCCCCCCACCCGTGGGCTAATTGTTGAGCCGCAGGGAAAAGATTAGATCGCCCCCGCGACTCATGCCTGAAACCTCCGAATCTCCAGTCCAGATTTCGATTCTTCCTTCTGCGGGGGGCCCACCTTCGCTGCGACCCGTGACACCCGCGATCCCCTGCGGTGTACGGAGTTCTTTTTTTCTTCCGCGCGTGCATCCCCACGGGAACCTCTGAACCTCTCCGACTAGAGTAGAACTAGTATTTGAGTGCAACTGGCAATATCATGTACATGAGGGGGTGGGGCACTCGGCTGCAAGTAGATATGCTGCACAAGGTTCGCCAGTACCGTGGGTCTCCTTTTTGTCGTGCGCGCGCCGTATGGGAAAAGCATCGAGTGGGAATACATCGTCTCACGTTGAGGTCCGGAATGCAGGTGGAACACGTTTTTTTTCTAAACCAGTTTTTGCTGGGGCCCCATTCGCACTTGGGCCACCTTTCGGTGCTCGCGCGCCTCACGTGCAACGTATTGAGTGGGGATGCATCATTTTATGTTGAGGCCCAGGATGCAAGTGAAGCGAATGGATTGTCTCAACTCGTTTTCGGGGGAACCACTCGCCTGTTTGTCACTTTTTGTGGTGCGCGCGCCGTACGGGTAACGTATTGGGTGGGCATGCATCACCTCATGTTGAGGCCCAGAATGCGCGTGAAACAATCGTTTTTTCTCAACCGCCTTTCGGGTGGTGCTCGCGCGCCGTACGGGCAACGTATCGAATGGTAACGCATCGCCTCGTGCTTAGACCCAGAATACAAGTGAAGCAACTGGCTTTACTCCACCAGTCGTCGGGTGACCCATCCGCCCGTGGGTCACCTTTTTGGTGTTCGCGCGCCGCACGGGCAACGTATTGATTGGGAACTTGGTATCGCTCGGACGTGTGCACTTTTTCTCGGCGGGGGTTATTAAGGAGCATCCTGGATCATCCTGCGAAAAAACCACGCACGAAACCGAAGAATACAGGGAATGGACGTCCGAGCGACGGGGAGAATGCATCCTCGCACGTCGAGGTCCAGAGTGCCAGTGGCACAGCGTGTCTTCCCGACCAGCTTAAAACGCCACGTGGAGGCCCAGACTGCAAGTGGAACAACAGGCAGCTCTTCCCAACCAGACTCCGGTTGACATGCCCGCCCGTGATTTTTTATTGAAGAATCTGTTAATGCTGGAGAAGATTAAATGCTCTTGCTTGTTGTTTTATGGGTCATGCGTTGATTTGTTTACTCTCTATCCATATTTCACACAACGATGTTTTAAAGCCGATTTAAAAGCATGTTCGATCAACCAAGTTATAGGGGTTCGCGCGCGGGGCGGGAAACGTATTGAGTGGGACTGCAGCACCTCATGTTCAGGCCCATGGTGCAAGTGAGCCCAATGGTTTTTAGTAACCACGTTTCGCGGACCCACGCGCCCGTGGGTCACTTTTTGGATTACGGCTGCGGAGCAAAAAGCGCTTACAAGCTGAACACCATGCACTCCTCCATGCACGACGTCTGGCAGATCTCCGAGCTGATCCTGCCAAAGGTGGGCAAGATCTACCCCATGAAGCCCATTGTGATTGATACCGTCAAGGACTTCATGTCGATGGCGACCACACAGCTCGCTGGCCTCCAGGAGGCCGCCGACGAGATCGTGGTCAACATCGGCCCCATCGTCGCCGAGCGAATGCAGTGCACCTGGAGCGCTGCGCTCCCGCGCCCCTCCGTGGGCTGGGCCTCCGTGCTGGCGGCACTCGCCGGCCACCTCCTCGCCCAGGCGCTCTGAGGCCGGCACCCCTCTCGCGGCCCTCCCTCCCTCCCTCCCTCCGCCCTCTGCCCTCTGCCCTCTGCCCTCCCTCCCTCCCTCCCTCCCTCCCTCACTCCTGCCCTCTGTCCTCTGCCCTCCCTCCCTCCTGCCCCTCTGCCGTCTGACCCCCCTCCCACACGCCTCAGAGGCCACGAGCTTGCACAGCCGGCTCCCTCCCCTGCTGCAGCTGCTCCTCCTCCCCGGCTACGAAGCGAGCGTCCTCGCAGCGTCTTGGTGCCTGCTCTCGCCTGCCTCCCTTCCCCTCTCCTCCGCCCTCTCCCACGCCCACCTCTTGCAAACATGGACTGGCTGGCGCATTTTGGCGCCTCACCTCTGGTGTGGATGTTGCTGGCGGGGCTGTCGGGTGACAGAAAATGGCGAGCGAGGCAGAGGACCGGCGGCGAGCACGGGGGGTGAGCGAGAAGGAGAAGGCCTTCTCAGCAGGCTCGGGAGTCCCCTGGCCTTCTGAAAAGTTGCTCCAAAAACCTTCCTCGAAGACGCAGACAACTTCTCAGAAGTCCCGCCGCCTTCTGAGGAGGCCTTCTCTTACACCACCCACCAAACCACCCCAACCCAACCCGAAGGCTTCAATTCGACCTCCATTTCCAGTGGGGGGGGGGTCGGAGAACATGGAGAAACACACACGTGGAACCCGTCCCCCCACCCAAAATTCGGGTCTTCGGGTTGGGTTGGGGTGGTCTGGCACGTAGTCTTAAGTCGGGCCCGTCCTTCTACATGAGGAATATTCAAAATAGTCAAAATATAGTATGGGGACTTTTTTTCTGCATTTTTTGAATAGTTGGGACTATTTTTGGGGTATTTCTTATTTTTCGTCGAAGGTCCCCCTGTAGGGGGACACGCCCGACTTAAAGGTAGTCACTCCTTCGGCCAGTTTTGGTTCGACGTAGGTGGGCCGTTTCCGGTTCGACTTCGTTTTGCGGTGAAGGCGGACTGAAGACAAAACGAGGGACAATGACATCAAAGCAGACACGAACAACACCGTTTAGGACCAGCCCTGGCCTGGCAGGTGGTCACTCCTTCTCACCTTCCCCCCCCTCGCTCGCCGCCGAGACGATGTCTGGGAGGCCTGGCGGGCGGGTGGCCCCGCGCCGCCGGCCCGCGCGGCTCACCCCGCCGTCGGGGAGGCGCGGCTCGGAGGGCTGCGCGGCGGAGGCCCCTCCGCTTCGGAGGACGCCGGCGGAGCACCTCACCGATCCTCCGAGGAGGGAAGGGGTGCAGTCAGCCCGAATAGGAAGGATGGGCAACCTTCCCAAAAGTACCCTTGCATCCTTGCCTCCTCGGTCCATCCTTCGCCGCTTTCGTCGGCCGCGCCCCGCTCGAAAAGCTTCGAAATGGGCGTCCAAGGCCCTTGCATCCTTATCGCGCATCCTTACTATACGGTTGACGGTACCCATACCTCTACCTTGAAGTCGGGCACGTCCCTCTACAGGAGGAATATTCTAAAATAGCCAATTAATAGTCTGGGGGCGATTTTCTTTTAGTATTTTCGGCCAGTTTTGGGTATTTTCTGACTCTTTTCCAGTTTCGCCCAAAATCTACCTGTAGGGGGACATGCCCGACCTAACTCTACCTTCCCCTCTTATTCCCCTCTTTGGGGCTCCTGGGCCTCTGTCGTCGCCACCGCCTGGTCAGAATGCACCCTGGGAGAGGCCTGGGGTGTTGCGGCATCGGTGCCTTTGGGTTTCCCCCAGATCCTGGCCAGACCTCACCGATCCTGGCCAGGCTTACGTCGGGCACGTCCCTCTACAGGAGGAAAGTCAAGAAAAGTAGAACATACTTTGGGGAAGATTTGTCGATCATGTTTTGGCAATTTGTCCCTTACTCTTCTTAATTTTTCTTGCAAGATCCGCCTGCAAGCATGCCCGACATCAGGGCCAGGCCGGTCCTTGGCCCGGGATCAGTGCGTAATACTGCCCTGGACTGGTCAGGAGGGCGTAGGCACCGATCCTGGGCTCACGAGGGCCTCTGTGAGGCGGATGCATGCCGTCTCCCGGCGGGAGGAGGTCAGGGGGGTAAAAATCATACAGATACAATCAATCGTGGACTCCCAGGAAAATATGGGAAACTATGAGGGGTGGGGGGGGAGACGAAAACCCATCAAATATAGGAAAGTATGGGGAATCCTGGGATTTGTGTCCATCTATTTGTGTGTTCCTGGGCCCCTTTACATGGGGGAGGAGGACGAGGAGGAGCGTTTTGACATGTTTTGGCCATGCCCGATCACCGAAGCTTCTGACCTGACATGCACCCGCGCCGACGCAGGTTTCACTCGTCCGCCCGATGGGCCTCTAGAGCCGGACCGAGGTATACGATCGAGGTCGTCTCGGGGAGGGTACCCTGGTGTTCTTCGTGCTTGTTGGATGTTATTGTGCATCCTGGGGAGGGTCACCTTAGATGTTCTGTTTGTTTTGACCTTCGGTGGACCTCCTGATACGGCCACGAATCGTGGGACGTGTGATGGGGGTCCCCACGAACGGCATTGCCTGACACGGGGGGGGCTCTGCGCACTGAGGTCGATGCACGTGCCAGGGCGTGCGCTCGTGGCATAATCGAGGCGCGCGTTCTAATCTAATTTCTCGGCGTTTCCCCTTGAGGCGGGGCCGATTGTCGGACGGTTGCGCTCTCTCACGCTTCTCTATTCCTTCTCTGTGCATCTTTCCTGCACCTTCGGGGCCCTGCAGGCCCCCCCCCCCCTGTGGCCCCAATGCACAAAAAAGGTGCATGTTTGTTCGCCTCCCCCATCTTATTGTTGCCCCCTCTTACGACACGCCCTTGCAACTTCCACCGCATGTTTTGAGGAGGTCTTCGAGCAACGCCCGACGACAACGGCGACGAGCGGCATGAGGAGGAGGAGGAGGAGGAGGAGGAGGAGGAGGAGGAGGAGGAGGAGGAGGAGGAGGAGGAGGAGAGAGGAGAGGAGGAGAGAGGAGGAGGAGGAGGAGGAGGGAGGAGAGGGAGGAGAGGGAGGAGTAGGAGGAGGAGGAGGAGGGTAGGAGTAGGAGGGAGAAGAGAGGGGATGGAGGAGGAGGAGGGAGGAGGAGGAGGAGGAGGAGGAGGAGGAGGAGGAGGAGGAGGAGAGGAGGAGGAGGAGAGGAGGGAGAGGAGGGAGGAGGGAGGAGGGAGGCCACGGAGAAAGCTGTGGCCTGGTGCGGCCACCACGGGGGGGTCCTCAAAAGGCTCGCGGACCTTGGGTGGCCCGACCGCGGGGCCCTCCCTGGGCCCAGGGGTCCCGATCCTGGGGAGCTGGCTCTGGCCAGGCCCGACAGGGGCCACGTTCTGGCGAGGCTCGGGCGGGCCTGGGGCTGTGCCGTCTGTGGGATCCGCAGGGCTTCCAGGGCCAGGGTCGTCGCGAGCCCCTGTCCAGGACTCCCGTGGCTGGTCGCCAGGTCCCACCCATCCCATAGGCTTTGGGTGACTCGGGGTGGGGACGGGTCTGGTCGGGAGTCCTCTGGGATGGGTGGGTGTCTCGTTTTTTGTCGGACATGTGGGGCGCATGGGAGTCGTCAGGCTAAGCTCCTTGCCGATCCTTGCCTCCCTCTGTCTCGCAAGAGCCGCGACGCGGCGCGACTTGCTCGCCGCGCCCTCGAACGTCTGCGGGCGGGGCGTGATCCCCAGACAGGCGCCCGCTGGGGCGGGACCCCTTTTCCTGTCTCGAGGGCTGCGGTGAGCAGGGTTTGAATTTTGTGTTTGAAGCTCCCAGGACCCTCGCCTGCGCCAGGTCTTCCTTTCCTTCCCTGGCGGGCCCTGGGTTAGCCGTGTAGTTTGGATCCCCGGTCGGGGTAGAGGTAGGTTTGCTGAGCGGACCACCTATTGGTAGGAACCAGAGGAACCAGAGGAGGAGGAGGAGGGAGGAGAACTGACCTGGTCCTCCAGAGGAGGGGGTCGGTGGCCTCATGCGTGGTTGCCTTCTCGTGGGGGGCGCCAGAGGCCAGGAGGGCCGTCGTGCGCGACCCCACGACGACCGAGCTTGAGTCCGCCTCCGCTTTCTGGAGGGGGGGGGGG